ACGCTGATAGCTATCGAATCGCGGTTTTCACCGTTAGACAGAGGGTGACTGAGGGTACCTGTATAGCTGAGAGTCAATGAATTTTAAAAGTTTTATAGAAGTTGTGCAAGTGCTTTTTTATAAAACTCTGATTGACTCTTTTGATTAAATAGATTATTGATTTCAATTGAGCCAAATTGTAGCCGAGTATCTGCTCTATAAATGCTGAAAGTTTCAGACTTCCCTTATGTGTCTCTGAGATAAAAGAAAAAATCTCCTGAAATCGAATGATGCTACATTTTCAAAATTTTTTGGTTTACACCTCTGATCCATAGAGGTGATGGAACCATCTGATTATTGTAACGTTATTAGTTAGATGCTGAAGATCTTTGATTTCTTCATATCACCTCGTACATGTCTATTTCTGACAATCTCCACTAATCGATTCAAGAGAAACATTCATTTTTTACTCATTCATATTTATTTATTTTTGTCTATTTGATCACAGTGACATATGTATGCATCAGAGGAGTTATCACAAGTGCAAATGGTACAGAAGAGGGACGCATACAAGTTGTCACTTAGAAATATCAGACTCATTGTTATTCGTTGCTCCTGAATCTTCTTTTTTATTAGTTTCAATCAATTCTGGCTCAATATTGTTTTCCACAATGACATTGGCTTAGAGGTGTAAGCAGAGGGTCAAAGAGCGGCGGCGCCTGCTAGGCTTTACGTTTTCTACGTCGTCGTCGGCGGCTTTAAGTATAAATTATTTTTTTCCACAGTGGTGGCATCTGCTATAGTTTATGTTTTTCTGCACAGGCGGTGGCTTTAACAACCAGAAAAAAACATTTTCGCTCCTAAAAGTCGAAAAAATGACCCATTGCAAATGTATCTATGTCAATGGCGGTGGTGCTTCATACTATTATCAAAAATTTTCGTTCATGTCGGTGACGTACTGGCCGAACGAATTTTTCATAGCGGCGGTGGCTAAAAAATTCTTACAATTATCTACACTTTCGTGGCAGCGGCGGCTCAGCTCGGTGGCTTACACCACTACATCGGCTTCTTTGAAAATATTCTCGACTTTGTATGCATGCTCGATGAAGCTTTGTGCTAAGTCTTCAGCAACGGCAGCAATAAAATCGAGCGTACTATCTTCAACCCTGGAAAGACAAAAATTAACATATCTGTTGCGCACGTGTGACTTGAGTTGAGCCCATGTAAGCTCTGTGGGATTGAGTGTACAATGCTTTACCGAAAGTCGCAAGATTTCGACATCGGAATACGGATGTGAGTGTGAGTATGGCTGAGAAGGAGACCAAAACCCACACCCACACCTAACAATGATCATTTCTGTCAAAAAAATAAGCATTTATACAATCGAATTGGTTATTTGTGCCATAGGAATGGTCATTTGCACCATAGAAATGGTCATTTGGGCCATAAAAATCGACGTTTGTGCCATAGAAATGATCATTTGTATCAAAGGAATGGTCATTGATGCCATGGAAATGGTCATTTGGGCCACAAAAATGGTCATTTGTGCGATGGAAATTGGTCGTTTTTGCTATAGAAATGATCATTTCTATCAAAGGAATAGTCATTTGTGCCATGAAAATGGCCGTTTACGCCACTAAAAGTGGTCATTTGTACCATAGAAATGGCCATTTGTGCCCAGTCCTTGTTACAGATGGACAGACAGACACAGATGAATTACGATTTCTAGACCCTAGCCTTTCAGTCTAGGGAATAAATCCTTTCGATGGAAAGGTAGAACAATAAACCCTTAGCTGTAGAACAATAAATCCTTTCCATAAAAGAGTAGAAAAATAAACCCTTGACTCTAGAATGATAAACCCATTTGATGAAAGAGGAGAACAATAAATCCTTGACCGCAGAATGATAAATCCTTTTCATGAAAGAGTAGAACGATAAACCCTTAGTCGTAGTATAATAAACCCATTTCATGAAAAGGTAGAACAATAAACCCTTATCCGTAGAATAATAAACCCTTTTCATGAAAGGGTAGAACAGTAAAGCCTTTTTCGCTTGTCATAAACTGTTTTTATTTTTAAATACCCTTTTTCTCAGAAACCCTTTCGCACAAAAACCCTTTAAGGGTTTAGGAGGATTTTCCTTAGGTACTATGGTTTATTATTCTAGGTATTTTTTATACAGTGAAGTTTATAGTTCTATCAGTAAATGTGTCGTCATCCACAACTACGTGTTCATTCTGCATCCATTTCGGTTTAAAGTGTGTTACAGCACATTTCTTGACATTCAATTTCATATTTATGTCCTTTGAAATTGTTGCTACGACTTTGATCTGTTTCGTAAGATTTTCAGGTGAATTCGCATGCAATTTAAGATCGTCCATATAGAATATATGAGATGACGAAATTGGCAATCGTTTCTGTTTCCCTGAGGCTGTAGTGTAACCTCCATTTACACTATTTATTGCGTGGCTGATGGGAAACATCGCTGGAGAGAACAACAAGGGACTGAAGCTATCTCCTTGTGGGACTCCGGAACGAATCCTTAGATAATTACTACGTTCTATCTTACCTCCGGGACCTTTTGCTTCATATTGTATTCTCCATTGACTCATGACGCTTTTTAAGAATTTTCGTAACAGGTCAGGAACTTGCATTACTTTGAATAACCACTTGATGTAACTATGCGGGACACTGTCAAATACCTTGGCATAATCGATCCAAGCAACGCTAATAGGTCTCTGTTTCTGATTTTGCGCGTCTGCTATTAACGTTTGATCCAATGTGTGAGCATGTGAGCAAGCCCACACTCCCCCACGTAATGCTATTTGCTCGCCACTCAATATATTTCGCTCCCTTACATGCTGATCTAAGTGTGCAGCTATGAAACCTGTTATTAGCTTGTAGCAGGTATTTAAACAAGCTATAGGCCTGAAATTCGCGGGATCAGACCTAGATCCGGATTTATGTATTAGTACAATTCGTTCATCGGTTATCCACCTCTGCGGTAAGGGCTTCCCAGATTTGATATGATATAAACCAACCTATATAGTGCTGCATTTGCTGAAACAAAGACTTGCCACCAGTAACCTTGCAGCCTATCTGAGCCATGCGCTTTCCATGGTTTTATTTTCTGGACCACTTTCTGCCATAGTTCGAAGGTAAGCCGACTAATGAGATCGTCATCACCTTGAATTTCTGACATCGAGCGTTCCCAAGCTACTAGCTCTGTGCCATTGCTGTTAAAAGACTTTTTCGCTCCAACTATGCTTTTCCAGAACCGCCTGATCTGATGGATATCGGTTTTTTCCGGTTCTGCTTCAGTACCAATGCCTCGGAGTAGCATCTTAGTCGGCTTCTGTGGAACGCGTTGACGTCCTTCATCTGCTTTCCTTAATGCTATTTGCGATTGTAGAATCTTAAGCCTGCACTTTAGTTTTTCTACAAGAGACGTTATTTCAGCACCAGTCTGGATCCCATACTTCTTTTTAAGCATTCTGATGTTAATGGCTTGCTAGAGAGTTGGAGCTACTTCCGCATTTTGTTTTCGTCTATTTAACTCACTAGTAGCTTTACGGATGACGCGACGCAAATTATCACATTCCCTATTTTAGTTCTTAAACCATTCCTTTGCTCTCTGCTGTTTCGCTTCATTCCTTAGGTTTCCTATCTTAGAAACTGTCATCGCACCAGCGTAAACTAAGTATGATAACTTATTCCAAGATATTCGACCTCCTACCAATTCCAGTTCACTCTTTACTAATCTATCTACTTCAAAGATGATAGGTTTAATATGTTTGCCAGATACTCTTTTGGGCGTTTTTCTCAACGTCATCTGACAACCTATCCGTAGTGCCTTTTTATATTCTCTCCTGAAGGTTGTCTCTATCTGTCCGACATCTTCAGCCAAATCAGCCGGTACGGACGGTGGACACTCATTTCGTCCCATTACTTTTCGTCCCCTTACACTACGTCCCATTCATTGCGTCCCTCACTCACTTTGTCCCTTTTCATTTCGTCCCAAATTCATTTTGTCCCAGTGTCATTTCGTCCCATACACTTGGTCCCAACCTCATTTTGTCCAGTTACACTTTGTCCTACCCGACAAGTCGTTTCTGACGATTCTACTTAATATACAATGTTATGTACTATGATCTTCTACGTTTAATATATTAACTAAAATGAAGAATGAATAACAGTTCAAGAATTTAGTTTCACATTAGCAGCCACACGGGCCAGATCTTGAGGGTGAGGGTCACAGCTTTCGCATCGAAAAATACGTTTTTCATCAGTCAATCGGTGTTGCATGTACACGAACTCACCATGATATACAATCGGATTTTCTCTTTTACTCTTCAAAATTTCAATATCACCCATCGGTCGTATAGATAGCAACACTTGATTAAATTAGCAGTTATCGGGATTTTTTTTTTCGGATTTTTTAATAAATCTATATACGTTTTTAAATAAATCCCGCACTATCTTGAGGCTGAGGGCAAAGGCACTGGTGAGGGTGAGGGCGCAGACGCAAGTGTGGGTGAGAGCGAAGGGGTCAGCAGTCGAGTGAGGGTGCACGAAAATCTTGATACAGATAATAAAACCCAATAAATCCCCATTAAATAAATAAATCCTAATAAATCCTATAGAAGAAATAAATCCCAAACAAGTATGTCCCGGTAGCCCCTCGATTAAATAGCAAAGAAGACCAGCTTTACGTGGTGAACAAGATTTGAGTGTGAATTTTTTTCTTTTCTGTTTCTCTTTCGTTAAAGTTAGCTAATCATATCAAAAAAGTAGGGACAAAGTGTAACGGGACAAAATGAGTTTGGGACCAAGTGTATGGGACGAAATGACACTGGGACGAAATGAATTTGGGACGAAATGAAAAGGGACAAAATGAGTGAGGGACGAAATGAATGGGACGTAGTGTAAGGGAACGAAAAGTAATGGGACGCAATGATAGGGTGCCGTACGCACTGACTTGGATTTATAACTGCAGGATTTACTTCGCTACTGTTATATCCGTCGCTAATACCAGCATCGACAGGAGTGCCAGGTTTTACAGTAACGATTTTCCTCTGCAATTTTGTTTGATTTTGACTCGAAGTCGAGTCATTTTGAATCACTATGGTCGACTTTCTTTTCTTTTCCTTATGCTATTCTTTGTTCTTAATGTCGAGCCACTTGCTGCTTAGACTTGCCTTAGTTCGAATAGACAGATTCAAATTTCTCCAAGCTGATTCAACTTCATTCCAAGATATCATACCATTAGGTCTGACATACTGTGGAACTAATCGTTTCAGCTCTTCAATTTCCTCCTCTGTCCATAACCCTGCCTTCCTCCGACCAGCGGAGCTTGCTCCACTCGGTCCTTTAGCGCTAATTGACTTCTTTTCGGACTGATGAGTGGGTGACTGAGCCGCATGAATGCCACCTTTTCCTAATTCACCTTTTACGGAACTAGATGTCTCGGCAGATAAAGTTGGAAAAACTGCACGAGCGCGCCTAGCCGCCCTTGTTTGCCGAGCTACGGCTTCGTCGCTATCAGACATGGTAGACAAAGGAAAATGCGGCTAACTGCGCACTTCTCGTTGCCGAGTTTTCGAATAATGCAAGATAGCTGTCTCTAACTGATGTCCGCTAGAGACGTATGCTTCACATATTTATTCCCTAGACTGAAAGGCTAGGGTCTAGAAACCGAAATACACCTGTGTCTGTCCGTCTGTCTGTCTGTCTGTCTATCTGTCTGTCTATCTGTCGGTAGCGCGGTCAAAATGGCCATTTTTTTGGCACATGTGACCATTTTTTTGGCACAAAAGACCATTTTTATGGCACAAATGATTATTTTTTTGGCACAAAAGACCATTTTTATAGCACAAACGGTCATGTTTTTGGTACAAACGACCACGTAACTATGGCACAGGTGACCATATAGCAACCATGGTACAAGCAACTATTCCGGTAACTATGGTACAAATGACCATCTAAAGACTGATGTAAATGAACCCATAATAATCATGGGTAAAATGTCAATGGAATAACTATAATTCGGGTAGTGGTGTAAAACGGCTTACAAAAGGATTTAGTTAGTGATAGTCAGACCAAATGAGCAGTATGGATTTAAAGAAATTGTTTAAATTATTCATTATTGTAGGATTGATTGTGCAATGTTGTATCAATGAATATCTAATTTATTAATAGTTTAGAATTAATGCGTGAATTTAAGCATAAAATATTGATTAATAAAACTCAAATTTTATGAATAATATTATTCATATTTTTGTACGTACAAATAGCGCCAATATAATTACAAAAAAAATCGTATTCTTGTCTAATCGTACTGGACGCTATTTATATTTATAAAAGCAAAGAAAAATAAAACAAAAACGACAAAAAAAATTCAATTTGTAAAATGCATTATCTTTAATTAGAGTGAGAATTCTCCAAATTAAGTTTTCTGCTCGCCTAAGATATACTGGTTATATTATCAATTTTGCGTATTACTTTTTTAATGTAGCTTTTTATGCTATTACATCCGTACATGTATTCTATCAGTCTAGGGCTAAGTGAATCGCTTGACGATGAACGTTACTTGTCTCTACAAACACATCGAACTAGTCCAGGGTGTGGGGTGGGTATGGGTGTGGGCATTAAAAGAAGGAATAAACCACACCCACCCCACACCGACACTCACACCCACACCACACATCACACCCACCCTCACCCTGAACTAGTTCGATGTGTTTGTAGAGAAAAGTTTATTAGAAAAAGTTATC